AAAAAGTTTCAACTGGAAAACTTCCGAAATGTCAATACAGCAATCATTATAAATAATGCCTTTCTTCAGACTAAACTAATCAAAAAATATACAAACACATTTGCAACAACAATTATGATTTATACCTCAACTAAAAAAGTCATAATCTCAAATATATATATACAACCAAACTCTATGAAAAACGAACATACAATATTCTTAAGACAACTAAGTAATGAGTACGAAGATTTACCAGTGGTCATATGTGGAGACTTCAACGCAAGAGATCCACTATGGTTTGACTCGAAGAAAAACCACAATGGTCATAAACTAACAATGCAGAACTGGAAATTATGAAAAATAACTTTCACTATATAAGAAACTTATATTACCGAAATCCTAATCCTCCACGTTATATTGCTGAATTGTTCAAAAATACACGAAATAAATATATACGTGAAATTAAGAAAGCAAAAAGAATTTCATGGAGAACTTTTCTGGAAGAAAATAATTCAAACAATCCTTTTGGAAATTTATATAGAATATACAAAAAATTTAAAGGAACACCTGACAAGCAAATACAAATATTGGAAACAAATACATATCATGAGCGGTTGCAGAGAACCGAGGGCTTGTTAGCTTGTCTCTTTCCTGATGACAGCCTCAACAATGATACGAATTTACATAAAGAAATAAGAAACTATAAACCAAAGCTTTTGAATACAGCAAATATAGTAGTCACAATGAAGGAAATAAATGATATAATTGATAAATTAAACCCAAGGAAATCTCCTGGAACTGACTATATATCTAATAATATGATATTGCATACTAAACACCTTATCGCTCCGCTCTTGACCAAGCTATTTCAGAAGTGTTTGGATATGAGCTACTTCCCAAATGAGTGGAAGAAAGCAGAAGTGTTGGTTATCCCAAAGCCAGGTAAAGCTGACTACGGCGAGTATAAGAGCTACAGACCCTTATGTTTGAACTCAAACATTTCTAAAATCTTTGAAAAAATTATTAACAATAAAATAATCAAACACTATGAAGAAAATAAGATGTTCAGTAATCGTCAACACGGATTTACAAAATCACGATCAACAATAACAGCGCTAACTGACATTGTCAAAACTGCTTTAGACCACAAAGCTAAGGAATTTACGGCCATTATAACAATCGACATCAGTGGAGCATTTGATAATGCATGGTGGCCAATGGTGCTAAAAAGAATCGATGAAGATAATGTAAATGCATCTATTGTTAAACTTTTCAAGTCATATTTTGATAATAGGAAAATAAGATACAGATACACATCAATTGAAGTTCAAAAAACACTAAGCAAAGGATGCCCGCAGGGAGGACCTATTTCCCCTACAATATGGAATATAATCATGAACGATTTACTATGCAAGTATACTGAGCCGAATAGTGAAATCATCGGATACGCAGATGATATTACGGTGATATGTTGGAATAAAAACCTAATAGAACTTGAAAATACAATAGGAAGCATAATGAGAAAAATAACAAATTGGTGTGAAAGCAGCAAATTAAGAATATCCAAGGAGAAAACGAAGGTTTTGCCTTTGTTCAATAATAAAAAATTTACAATAACTTTGAATAACAATACCATTATTCCGGTAGATAGGGTAAAAATTTTGGGAATAACCGTCAAAAACCACAGAAATAAGAATAAACTTGATTTTATGCCGCACATTGATGATACTATCACGAAAACAACCAGAGCAAGTGGATATCTATTAGGATTAACAAAGAAGGCCTGGGGTCTTGACAGCAAAAGGAGAATTGTACTGTACAAAACACTATTTAGAAATACAATAATATACGGATCTACGATATGGTACCAATTCATCCCAAAAAAAGCCAAAGACAAATTAAACTCGCTACAGTATAAAATTCTCAAACATGGTATACAAGCATACAATACAACATCGTCAAATTGTACGCATATCATTGCTAGAACACCAAAGCTCACTCACTTCATTGAATCAAATATATTGAAAATAAATATAGATTACAACCGATTTGTCCCAGCAAAAATAATCATAATTTCTAACTTTATAAACCAGAAACAGCAGGAATATTACGAAGCGACCAATGAAAATTTCAAAAGTTTCTTCAGTGGCCCAAAAATTCCTAATTTTATTAAACCTAACTTCTATAATGTGCAATTCCTCACTGGACATGGCGACTTCAATTCATACCTGTTTAAAATTGGCAAAGCTGAATCACCTGGATGCTCGTGTGGAGGCGAAGAACAGAACCCCAGACACTTATTAACTGACTGCCCGCTGACCGCTGATCTTAGGGAACTAAATCAACTTCCCATAAATTTGCAACATCTGGTCTCCACTAAGGACATATACCAAAGATTCAACAAATTTTGCAGAATGTATTTAGCTAGTTAAGTGATTACTAATGTAATCAATTTGCATACTGATATGTAAATATGTATATATCTTCTTAACTACTTTTCTTTTGTGTCTTTCATTTAAATGTTTATATTTCACGCGCAAATATCCGAATTGTGGATATAGCGTGTACTCTGCAATTGATAAATAAAAAATAAATATATATATTTTATATTCATAATATTAAATTTTTATTCTGAATAAATTGCATTTTAAAATGTTCCTAAAGTCTATCCACTTGATCTGGGATGTCTTGTAAAACACGCGATTCTATGAAAATCCCAAGCTGCTTTAACATTACTTTCACATTTACACTCATAAATTGTCGCCGGTTGTCTGTTTTTTTAAGGAGACAGAGGCTGTTTACACTTAGTTATCTCGTGTGTCTTCAATAAAGGTTATTGTATCAAATATCTTTCAGAGTTACTGTCTGAATCCAGATATACATGATAAAAGGTACAACTTCCTTAAGTTTTGTTCATGAGTATATTTATTGGGAGATTTTCTTGAGATGCTGGGAATAGTTTCGTGTTTCTTATTATCAAAAGTAGAAGTAGCATAATCCAGGCTCCTGGAGTGTATCCATAGATCACGAACTACCCGGGCTGTCCTACGGTTTAGGATTCTGTCTGTGGGGCCTTAGTGAACCAGTTCACCAAGTGTTTCCAGGCCGGTTTTTTAAATATATTTTTTTACAAAGACACCTACGCACACAAGAATAATAGAGATCCTCACATTCCTTTTTTAATACTTCTCTCAAATATATTTTGTGTTTTTATTTTAAAATTTTTCATCGCGAATCAATTAATTATATTATCAAATACAACAACAACAAAAGTCCTTCATTAAGGACATCCGTCCCATACAGGATTCTCCCAGATAGATAAACAGAAGTAAACATAGCAGTTATCTATAGAAAGTGGAGGTTAACATCGACCTTTCTTCAAGTTGGATCCATTATCTGTGTTACCCTATTGTCTGTGCTGTTTTCCAGAATTTGTGAGAAGCTAATGCATTGTTTTCTTTTTACTACTTTTACCATTAGAACATATGGCGAATTGTTTTCATAACCAATCTTTTGACGGAGAATTTCTCTCTCTCTCCTCCTCCAGTACCGTACAATAAAACATATAGTGTGGAAAGTCGTGGTTAAATTCACTATTACACAGAATGCACTTTAAGTTCTTAGATTTCAATAATAAAATGTGATTATGTTTAAATATTTGGAAAAATAATTATCATTTGGGCAACGCATCGCTTCACAGTCATTGGAATATCATGATTGAGGTAAGACTCCATAGTAGTTGATGTATGAAAATACTTATAGTGGGAATAAAGTACAGAATTTCTTGCATAATCCAACTGTATAGACTGGTCTATTGCAGTTCTAATAACTAGAGGAATGTTTCTTTGTAAAGTATTGAAATCTATACATCCAACAAGCCACCAGAAACCGATGTTATTTAATATCTCCATCACGGGCTTTTTACCAAACCGATATTTTGTTTTGTAGAGGTTGATATATCCCATAGGTGCGCCAGACAATTTGAAGGAAGCCTGTTGTAGTCCATTTTCAGTATTCTAATCCAGAATTTTAAGGTCAATTTCTTCACTATGACACCGAGAGAATTTCTTCCTGTTTTTTTCCCTCAAAATATAAACCTCTGGAGTATAGCTTGGATATATTATTGAATTAAATTTTTAAATGATTAATACATTTTTTTTATTGTATCAATTTTTATTGAAGCCTATCTTGGCTGCTATACATTTGTTACAATGCGTGTATATCACACTAAAGCAATCAATAAACATTTTTTGTTGAGATAGAGAAGAATAAGAGAAAGTTAGATGGAAACATTTTCTGGGTGCTCTGAATTTTCCAAAGCTGGTTCGCTAGTTTGAGGAGACGGTTAATATATAGCACTTAGTTAACGCTTCTATTTTGACGGGAGAGGTGTTCTCACTTTTTATAAAAAGAGAGAGAGACATATTCAGGTTAAAAGTCGGTTTACATTTGCTGATTCTCTCACATGCAATGTACGTTCAATATTGACCATCACAGAACGTCATTTCACACTCAAGTAATACAATATTTCTGTGGTGATATTGTATAAAATCCCATCTTTCTTGAACCAAATACAAGTTTGGGATCTTTTAGATGAGTTTCTGACCAAGGCCATATAGATCTGCCCTTTGTATGAAACCGGAGTTTTCCATCCTCAAGATAACCTGTTAGCTCTTAATAAGAAGCCCCTCTACCCTCCGATGTGTATATATTTACATATATGTTAATGATATGTTAATATGTTAAATTAAGATTGCTACTATTTTTAAACTGTGAATACAAATGCACAAATATACGTATATTTGAAAATACTTGTATATAGAAAGAAAGTTTTTTAATGTAAATAAAGAAGTGTGTATATATAAATATGTATATATATATATATATTAGCTTCGAGGCTGTAAAAAGACACAGGACACGGTATGTAAATAAGGAGCACTGCTCTCCAAAGAAGTGGAGCCAGCCAGCCATCCACTCCACAAGTAATTTACGACTGGGGTCGACTCCATTGTTGCCATGGCCTTGCTCCCCATTCCCTGAGACCTTAGCTTGTGATGGAAAGGTTTCCCAAGTTAGGCTCTCAGGTCCTGGGTAGCAGGAAAGTCTGAACTCCACTACTCTGCGACAAGTAGCCCGCTTGCCTTAAACTTGAGGCAAGAAAAAGGAAGAATTGGACAAGTTCTCCGTATAGCACCACCTCCTGGAAGAATTGAACAAGTTCTCCGCATAGCACCACGTCCTGGAAGAATTGGACAATTTCTCCGTATAGCACCACGTCCTGAAAGAATTGGACAAGTTCTCCGCATAGCACCACGTCCTGGAAGAATTGGACAATTTCTCCGTATCCCCACGTCCTGAAAGAATTGGACAAGTTCTCCGCATAGCACCACGTCCTGGAAGAATTGGACAATTTCTCCGTATAGCACCACGTCCTGGAAGAATTGGACAAGTTCTCCGCATAGCACCACGTCCTGGAAGAATTGGACAATTTCTCCGTATAGCACCACGTCCTGGAAGAATTGGACAAGTTCTCCGCATAGCACCACGTCCTGGAAGAATTGGACAAGTTCTCCGCATAGCACCACGTCCTGGAAGAATTGGACAAGTTCTCCGCATAGCACCACCTCCTGGAAGAATTGGACAAGTTCTCCGCATAGCACCACGTCCTAAAAGAATTGGATAAGTTCTCCGCATAGCACCACCTCCTGGAAGAATTGGACAAGATCTCCACATATCAGTAAGTCCAGGAAGAATTGGACAATGCCTTGTGTAATCACTACGTCCAAGAAGATTTGGACAAGTTCTCCGCATATCACCATGCCCTAAAAGACTGGACAAGTTTTTGAGCATATCATCACGTCCGAGAAGACTTAAACAAGTTCCCTGCATATCCAAATATCACCACGTTTTATAAGATTTAGACAAGTTCCCCGCATATCCAAATATCACCACGTTTTAGATTTGGACAAGTTCCTCGCATAGCCAAGTATCACCACGCTTTAGAAGATTTGAGAAAGTTTCCCGCAAAACCAAGTATCACCACGTTTTAGAAGATATTCGGACAAGCATAGTAATGTCTTTAAAAAAGATTGCAAATGGTTTCTTCTTTTCACAAAATTCGGAAAAGTATTATCACTTCCTATGAGATTTAAACAAATGTCTTCAAATGAAAAATGAATTTCATTCATCTCCAGATTTTTGAAGTATTCGCCGAGCAGCTCACCAAAATTGGAACAACCATCTTTAGTCCACATGAGAAGTTGAATTTCCACAATAACTAGTTTCGACCAAGATCTTGAGCATTATCAGCAATATGCACAAATCTCTTGTCACTTTCCTTAAAATTCAGACAAAGTTCACGAAACCGAAGTCTTTAGAATGATCAAAATATTAACGCTAGTCCCACATTTCAATCGTCAAAGTTGAACAAATGCTTCTATGTGATGAAAGTATTATTTGGGAAAAGAAATGAAATATATGCTATAGATAAAAACTGAGAATAACAACAAAAACCTTACAAGATTACTAAACAAGTTTCTCAACTTTCAGAGATGATCGTTCCACAAAATATCTAGCAGAGATCTCTCACTAAAAGACGAACAAGTTTTGCTTAAATTTGCCAAATGTCATCGACCAGATATTTATAATACCAGATAGCCTTACACACAGAAGCGCAGCTATACAGCAACATACTTGTACAGAAGTTTTATATATCTTACAAATGTGTTTTTTTAAATCTACGAAAACAACAACAAAAATCCTCTTTATTAAGGACTCTCGTCCCATACAGGATTCTCCCAATACGGAAAGTGGAGATTAACATCGACCTTTCTTCAAGTTGGATCCATCATCTGTGTTGTGCCTATTGTCTGTGCTGTTTTCCAGAATTTGTAAAAAGCTAATGCATTGGGTTTTTTCTTTTCAATACTTTTGCCATTAAATCTACGAAAACAAGATAATACTGAAATTCTTGCCTATATATAATACAGAACAATAGTTATGTGAAACAAGTTGGATGTACAGAAGAACAAGATAAAAGAATAATGACAACCATTGCCGTAAATGTGGAATTCAACAAGCTAGGATACAAGTATTAACAACTCTAATTGAGAATATTACCAGGATATCTACAAGAACATGAACAGGTCATGGGAGCAGATTTTAAACTTTTATTGGGCAAGTCCTCTCCACCTAGAAGAACTTATAGAGTAAGTGAGAAGACTACCGCAGACTTAATGCCTGCAAACTGCCAGAACGGTATCCTATTCCGATGATCGAAAATGTTCACCACATCCTACGCGTGGTAAGTCGAGATTTTTTAAAATCAAAATAGATCTTTTTAAAGCTTGTTACAAAATTCTGATCTTGGAAGAGGACTGTTGAGGAAAATTTTTGGACTTGTGTAAAATGGAATGTTTATTAATGCCGAACTATATATTGTAAATATATCATTTTTCTGATTTATTCTCTTTCTGTCTGATATAACTATATATTGTGTTATCACAAAGCAATAACGCGCCATCTATACATATAAAATGAAAGGATTTAAAAGCACGAATGTTTCTTTTATACATTATACAAACTTCTACTGCCCTTACTGCGATGAAAAAATATATTGGGAGGGCTTGGCTCATTAGTGGTGAACCCTCCCAGCGGTTTCGCCAATTTAATCCACCAGATCGCTTCTCAGAGCTCTAATACTGTATTGGACGATTCTGCTTATATACGCAGCACATATATTGTGTTATCAATTGAAAAAGCCCTGTACGATTTATAAATGGATAAAACAAAGCATCAAGGGCTGCGTATCTTTATTAGAACAAATATATACGAGCTTTCGGGCACATACGCCCTTCTACAGGAATTAATGAAATTAATTTGGATTATTGTTTCATTAATTCCTGTAGAAGGGCGTATGTGCCCGAAAGCTCGTATATATTTGTTCTAATAAATATACGCAGCCCTTGATGCTTTGTTTTATTCATTTATATTGTGTTATGTTTGTAAATATATCATTTTTTCTTATTTATTCTCTTTCTGTCTGATATAACTATATATTGTGTTATATTTTCTAGAGAGAACAACTCTGTGAATGTAGGCCGTCAGATGGCGTCATTTCAAACTATATTAATTCATTGTTGTATAGGTAAATTAATATTGTACAATTATCAAAATTATATACTGGATATATATGTGAGATAAATAGACAATTATAATAAAGGTTAAAGAATAAATAAATATATATATATATATGTCGTAAACCCGAGTAAGACAACAAGTGAGTTGAAAGCAGTCGGGGTTGAGTGGCAAGGCGTGCAGAGTGGGAAGTCCGCACGGGACAGTAAGGACAAAGTTTGGGATCAAAAGACGCTCTTCTAGTACGTCTCACGTGGCACCAGGACCAGGGGAAAGTTGAGGATTAACTGAGGAAAGCTCGGCGTCCTGCATGAAGCCGCGGAGGCAGAGAGGAACCAAAACGGCGGCCACGAGGGCCGCCGTGAGACCTAGCACTGAGCGGCCTGTCCGAAAATATCCACTGTAACCTAACTAACTGTCAACATCCGGACCAACGCCCCTTCTTTGTCCCTCTGGATCCCCCGGGTGTCCGGTGGCAAGCTGGTGTCACTTTGAGACGACTAGAAAAGACGTCATACTTTATTACTTACATATCACATTGTTTAAATTACGATATATATATTGTTAAACCTGTCTATAGCGCCCCCTCTAAATAGCGCCATCCACTCTATAGCGCCCGATTTTAAATACGTAGTACGATGCGATTTACATTAAAAGTGACCTGTCTATAGCACCCTCTCTCTATAGCACCCTATTTTGGTGAGTCCTAAGAGGGAGCTCTATAGACAGGTTTAACTGTATATATACATTACATACATCTATAAAATTGACAAAGAGAAAATAATTTCATAAACTTTTTAATAATACCTATGGTTTTCAAAGTTGTTTTTGTTATAAGGAATATTTTTGATTCGGTCAATATACAATTCGGTATTCCCCTCAAGTCGGTCAATGTTTGTGGTTCCTTGAAGAATTTGACTATAAAGTTGCTGCTATCGGTTACATTGATAATAAATAGTATTTTTTAAATAAAAACTATTTTCGAAAATCATAAGTATGCACACAATAACAAATATTAATAAATACAAAGTTAAGGAAAGAGTTTTGAGTCACATTTAAAAATTGATAAAAATATATTTTTTATCTCTCAATTTTATAATTTTAAAAATACTTCAAATATTTACTACTGATTATCAATATAACCAATAGAAGCATCTTTATCATTAAATTTTTCAAGGAACTACAAATATTGACCGAATTGAAATAGCTCAACTTGATCAACTTTCTCTCTCCACGATACTAATTATTACAGCTAACTTCATTAAATCAACTTCTATCATTGCTTAACATACTGTAAATAACTACCTTGCGATTTCTTGTATCCGCTTATGTTGTTGCTTATTTGTTTAATGTATATGTTTATTCAATGCTCTTTTTCTTAATTGTTTATTTTCTTTTTGATAATTCTGTTATCTACTCTACTACAATAGGAATTATTGTAAATGGTTTCACGCGCAATTATCCAGATCGGATATAGCGTGTCTTGTTTGCAACTGGTAATAAATAAAAATTGAAATATATGTTGACCGAATATATAAAAAAAATCTTTATTTAGATCAATAAAAGCAACTTTAAATAATATGTAATATTTAAAAATTAATTATTTTCTCTTTGTTAATCTTGCACACACATAAATACGTAATATATATATATATGTTATATAAAAATAATATTTTATTTTAAATTATAATTTCATAGATTCAAATACTGTGCTAAATCGACCGCCAGAGGTCACTCTTCCCTATAAAAACTCGTTGTTGTTCTATCCCAATGGCCTTATCTTTGCCCTCTTGCGCTCACCCCTGCCATGGCTCCCTCCAGGAAGAAAAAGAAGAATGCCGAGATCGCCGAGAAACCCCTCGTGACCCTCGCCCAACTAGAGTTGGAGAACCAGGAGGTGATGGACGATTCCGCGAATGCGTTAGCGCATCCTCCCCCTAGCTCCCAACAATACCTGTACCAA